AGACTTCGAAGCCCCAGTCTGACGTGAACGCCAGGCCTGACTACCTTTGGTTAACTTGGAAGCGCTGACAAGTCAGTAGAGCGACAACTCTATCCAACTCTCTATGAAAATGAGTTACACGGGATGCTTAAAGACGTAATAGAATTACCTGTGCTAAGCGTTTTTGAAAGAAGTGGATGACAAATTTAATACATTCAAGTGCGTAACCATTACCACTGTTTATACCTCAGAAGCCCGTACAAACGACTGATTAAATAATGGAAGGTCAGTTGAAGAAGATAGGGACGTTTATTAGTTAGCCCCATCAATAGTTGGTTGACTGTCTCAAATTTTATGGCATTCGCGATTGCAACGGCCCTTCACTACCGGATTCAATATGGAGCAGGGGGTGAAAGGGATTACCCCTACACTGCAACGATGCATGAAGTTGGTTGATATTTTTTTGTTGAACAAGGGCGGCTTCACTGTTGTATTTGGGAGACAGGGACAGTCGAACCACCGATCAGTGGGGAAGTCCACCATCAAGGACTAGCATTTGCCAAATATTTTGTCCTTCTATATGGTGCCAAATATCCTTATTTTACCTATTCAAGTCCCACCTCGAAGCTGGGTTATGTAATTAACTTTCTTAGACTAATAATGCCCCACACTCAACCAATCCGGTTGAGCAGGTATTATATCTCAAATCAGTAAAGAACATGTATTGCATACCTGTGACGTGCGGATTCGGGTAAGGGAATTAGGACCTCATAAATACGTGACACCGGCGACCATTAGGGTTGCACAACAAGTATCGTCTCCTTTGTCTACCTTTAGTCATCGTTTTCAAGGTTACGAACTTAAAGTTACAGCATCAGAGGGTTCAAGATAGTTTATAATTTTTGCTATTTTCGTGGGAAAATACGGTAAACAACCAGATGACGTTGAGTCAGGTGGAGAGGTGGCTGTAGTGCCGCAATTTTGAAGTTCTGGAGCACACTGATTGGCTACTATTGCAACCAATCACCTTGCCGCAGGTCTATCCAATGCGTGACTTATGACTTGGCTACTAAATCCTCAATTAGGCAGGTGTCTTGGTATTTTTTAGAACATCAAGTAGCTGCAAGTAATCAGTTGCTTCACCCATTCTACAGATTTCCCATGATTTTTTTGCCTAGTTCTTTAAGCCATCTTCCTCATTCAGCACAGCTGAAGGAGCGGAGGGGTGCTTCCTGAAATTCCATATCTCTCTATTGTCCTTTACGCAAATCATGTATTGCGCTATGATTTAGTAAAAGGGTAGGCCAAAACACCACAAACTGTTTGTATGGCAGTTGGAGGCATTGGTGGTCACGTAAACCTCACTGTTGTGCTTAAGGCTGAATTTGGTGTTTGGCTGGTGTGCCACACTTGAACGACTCAAATATGGCTCTGATTGTGAGCATCACATGTGGAAGATGTGCAGTCAGATCTAACTCGTAAGTCTGCCATTTGTTTTTGCTCATTGGTCTGACATTTTCTTACGTATAAACCAGTTATTTGACGAAGTAAATTTACCAGCACCAATCAACTGTCGTTTTTTCCTTTGCCTCCAGTTGAGACAGTATTATCTTCTCTAACATTGTAATGGGATGGTCAATACCAATTTGAATGCCTTAAGGTGGCTATCAATGTGACACTGTTCCACATAATCCATTAGAAGAGCGAGGACCAACCGAAAGGCAGCATCGCCAAGTGGGTCTTGTTTCTGTCGCTATTGACGCTAGCTCCTCGGGTTTAATGTTCTATAAGTGAGACAACTTATTTTATTGCTTTATTCGGCCACCAATTACAGTTCACAGGGAAGGCATATACCAGGACACAATTTGTTCGGAGAACGTCCCCAATCACGTCTTATTAGTGGTTGGTTACGATGCTGACAAGATTGGACCGAAGTATTGGGTCTTGAAGAATAGTTGGGGTGAGGAGTGAAGACAAGGGTGGTACATTTGGATGGACAGAGGCAAGGGAAATAGGTGAGGGAAAGCTTCAATAGCTAGCTATCCTCGGGTCTGAAAAACCCAATCAGATGACAGCTAGATCAGATTAACTGCAGTATATTTTGAATGGCTTAATGCTTAATAGAACAATCATTTCTGTCGATTGCTTAGCTTAAGCAATAAAACAACACAAAGGTGATGTAATTTTTTTCACATGACTGTTTGATATTGTAACGAACTGAAGGAGAATCTATGTCTGTAGTTTTCCGTGATAGTATAGCTTCACCTTCAAAAAAGATGGTTTTTGGTTTGACTATTTGACAGAGTAGTTTCCTTTTTTACTTCTGATTTCGTTACCATTTCTCATCTGTACTTTATTCACCAAAACTCAGTTTCAAAATTTTACTGCTATGATATGCTGCGATAAATCTCTATTGTATCCTTCATTCAATAGCAATTCTACCTCTGCTACTGATATAAAATTAGTAGCATTCCCTGCATAATAGCTTAAACCGTCTATTTCGGTATCGGGGTCAGCACTATTGGGCTTTTGCGCCAGCATCTACAGCAATTCGTCAATAACAGGCAACTACTTTGTTTTGTACCTGCTTGTAAGTGCCTGACGCAAATTCTCCTTTTAACAAGCCACTCAAATTGCTAAATTGGCCATCATGTCATCCTAGACGGCTGACAACGTTAGCAGGGATTCTTTTTTCGTAGACCCCTTCTGATTAAAGAGTTTGTTTTCAAAAACTTATTTCAGTCTAGTTCTTTTTTAATGAACTTGTGTATGATGCTGCAATTTGAAGAAACATTAGGTGTCGTAAAGTGGGTTGAAGGCCACTAAGTGTCGCGAATAATGGGTTGGTGATAAGTCGGTACACTTTCTTTAAAAGACGATGATACACAGTTTTTGGTTATCTACACCTAAGCTGAGGCACAGCAGCTGAAAATTTCTAGTACCTTAACCAAATGAGCCAGACGTGGGTCCATTAACTCCCATAATGTGTCTGTTAGGTGGCGTTTCTGCTAACACGGCTGTTGAAAGCGGCATTTTCTCGTCTTCTCGGAATGCATATGAAGTTTCGTTTGCCTATTAATTGACCCTTGATCCCCCCCATTCCTAAAGCTAAAGCGAATGAAGTCGTGTTTTCCATTTATACGACTGCCATTTATTTTAAGCTATGTGTTAAACACCACATATTTCTCCACCACTGTGGCTTAGGTTAATGTTTCTGTAGTACAGAACGCTCTGCTCATTTCACTTGCGTTGACAGCGAACAACCAACATGTTTATCATCGGCGTCATATATATGTGACGGCATGGCCTTCATCCCTGTGATTTGTTCGCTATCAGTAAATAGGAATTGGCTTCACCGCATCATGTCACAGACAGAGTGAGGGCTAAGGTTTCACTTGCGGCTTTTGAACATCATTTTAATTTACCAACAATGCAATGCCGGTTGGTGTCATACAGGAAAATCTTCACTGCGCTGATAATTTGCCCTCCGAGACCCCGACGGAGAACTTTTTAAACAAGGTTATGCATAAATTCGTATATTTTATAACTCCAACTATTCCGGTCTTAAGCTGAGGGATGACCGTCCATTACGACTTACTAGTGACAGAGCAAAAGATCAGCTCCTGGCAATGCTAGTCTCTCACTTTTCATGCTTTTCAGCATCACAAAGTCTCTTGCTCAACTAGTAACTAGTATTCCACTGCGGTAGTGGTTTGTGGACAGTGAACAGGCACAGCGCGTTGACTGGTGAAGATTCTTTGTCAATTTGGTGATGATTAACGTCGTTTGGGCGCAGTCGGTTTACGTATTAGCTCTCTCCCATAAATTAAGGTGTTTTATAAACAAAAGTTTAGATATCTGCTCCTGGGTGTGTTGCAGCGAAAATGTTCTTACCGTATTTTGAAAAGGGCATTTCTGAGTGCTTTAGCACATTCCCCTGTAGGTACTGGACGTAAATCCTCCTTCTACTGTCACTGGTTCACTGGGCATTGCAATCTGTAGATGACACATGGCTGTTCTCTTGGGCAGGTATCTAGCTTCTGAAACATTTTCTCTCAGAGCGTCTCCAAGGCTATCTCAGGCGTTAAGTTGTAGCAGGGTGGATGAACTCGCCGCGAAAGATTGGCGACTCCAATTTTGCCACTTTAGAAGGGAGGTATCTGTTCTGGATGGTGGGATTTGAGGGAACTCACAATAGAAAGACTAGCAAAATCCTTCTTTAAGCCTCATTTCTGTATTGTGTTCAGCAAATGAAGTAATTTGTTCAAAATAGTATTTTCCTAAGTTTCAGGAAGGGGCTAATAGCTCAGATAGTCGGCTGGTAACATTTTATGGAAGTGCAACTTTGACATACTGTTTTGAAGCGGTTGGTTTACGGATTGTCCTTACTGTGGAACTTCTTTTAGGCTTCGACACTACCTCCCGAGTCAATCTCACCTCTGTAAGCATGCTATTCATAAAGCATACAACGCAATAGATATTTTTTCTTAAAAGTATTTTATATAAACTTTGTTTCTGTCCCACAGTTGATTTCATTTAATTTCATCCTCTCGTTCTGAGGAAAGTACTCAGAGCAGGAGGTGGTCTAGTAGTCTCCCAGGGCTTCGGTCTCAGACTGTTGATGTGACTCAGCCACCAGGGTCTCAGCGTTCCTCTGTAGAGTCTCCAGTCTCTGGTACTCCCTCTGGAATTACTCCCAACCCCAGGAACACCTTCTTCATTGATCCCACAAAACTACTGATGTAATAGAGGTGAAGAAACCGCGATGTGCAGTCGTTCCTAATCCATGGTTGATTTCATTTAGCTCAGTCCTATCGGTCTAAGGGCAAAGTTTAGAGCGAGAAGGAGTAAGACTAGCCTCCCGCAGCTTCGGATTCGGTCTTTACAATGGTGATCAGAGTCTCTCCTTATGTGAACCGCGCTATCAGTTTGTTAAACATGCTTTGTAGAGCCTTAACCGGTTTCTTCGACGCCTCACGGTCGTTTAGTAATCTAACAAATTTCTAAAGTCAGGAATGGATAGCCCAAGATTGTTTTTTTTGGGGGGATATCAGTTAAACTAATAAACTTGATGCACCTAAAAGTCACCATTTTTTATAAAACTAGGGCTGTGATTAGCTTTTCCCTACCGTTTAATTCCCCTGAAAAGGTGAAGGCAATAATTTGGCTCCATCAGTTTGATAGCATGACAATTTATCTCGCCTTCCTGTGAATTATTAGAAGTAGAACTAGTTCAACATAACCTATTCATAACCTAACTATGCAAAAATTTGAAATATTTCCTGCATAACTTTAGGTTTATAAAAGTCGGCTCAACTGCTATGACACCATTATCAATGGGCCATTTTTTTCGGATCTGCAATCCTTGAGGATCTTTTTTGTGGGACGTAAAAAGCTACACACTAATCTTGTGTTTGGGGAAAGAGAATATAGTTGCTAAGTTTCTTTGAATACCAGAAATAATGGATGCATTAGAAATTATCGCTGTTGAGACTTGCAGTGCAGCAGTACATCCGCTTCCCTCCATGGATGGAATCACAAATTATGCACAGTAAATTGTAGCCCCTATGATCTCCATGAAGACGATAAAAGGGTGCAATGGCGGTGCCTTCAATGCCCAAGTAGTCAAAACGGCCGATTATAAACAGTCAAGGGAAAAAGTTGAGGCCTATCCTTTTGAGCACCTTCGGCGCTTCTATTGGTCAGCCATCGCAGCGGAGTTGGGGCTGTAAAAACAACACCCACGAACTAACCTCGCCAGCTGTCGGATTTGCGTGCAACTGGGGGGATATTTGGCCTCAACGTCACTGAACCATCCTGGTAATTTCACTGCATCTGGGGTTTTATCCTGTTTGGAAACTGTGTTGGGAGAAGAGGGATTATGCTGACCATCTTGTATGCGCATCGCTGGTCGTAAGAACACTGGCTTTAAAGCAAAGGCATGTAACAAAGGGAGTTCGGTTTTGATTCTGTTTCTTCTTGCCACTTTCTTCTCACTGTGGTGCTGCCCAGCCCTCCCCATCTGGGTTCTATTTAAGTAATGGAGAGGTGGAGGAGGTATCACGTGTTTACTTCATTAACATCTCCATAGAGGCGTCTTAGACGGTCCCTTAACGAACTTTTCCAGTCATTTTAAGACTAATGTCTCTTCACTTGTTGATTGCATTCCTGCATACCAGGGAACAGGGGTAGTTGTCAAGGGTAGACGTCGCTTTTAACGCTTCTACTAGGAGCTGTCACAGATTCTCCCGTCCGCAGCATATGCTCTTCGTCCGTCACGTTAGTGTTTAGCATTTAGTAATAAAAATCAGGGTGATTGTTCTTTAGAATCAGTTTTCCTTTCCGACACCATTAAAGTAGCACGTCGAGTCTTTTTCGAAGACGGAAAGTCATAGCACTAGGGCATGAAGTGTATTGCTGACGTGGAGGAGAGTTAAGAGCTACTGGCATGACATTCGCATTGCACGTCATTAATGACAACGTGTATTTCCTACTACGGAATGAAATGAACTTGATGCTACCTCATTGGCTACTTTCAGGACCTTTAAGTAGTCTTTACGCATCCAAGGCAAAATTTTTTGGTTGAAGCAAAGCCAAGCTAGGCGATCTCAAAGCAGGCAGGCCTGTGTACAATGAAAGAAAAAAAGCGGTCTGCTCAACCATTTCCCTTTTGCTTCATTTGCATGATTCACAATAGAGGATCTTCCATTTTCCATAGCGTGAACGTGAAACCGATTTTTCCTTGACTAATAAAATTGATGAAATTTGCTACTGTTACCACCTTATCTACTTTTCCTGTCTCAAGGCGTTGCATATCACATTCCATCGACAATATACAACATTCACCACCCCAAACGGGCAAGCCAGACACATTTGCTTTTGTACCATGACCGACTGAGGACTCAAATTTTAGTGACGGAAATGACTAGTGCGGAGAGGAGGGAGTTGATCGGTGTAGGTAGGGCGGATTGGGGGAGGGCAGGGACTGGTGGAAGGAGTGAGAGGGTACCACGCTAACACAAAGGGGAAGAGAATAGCCCAATTTTTCCCCGCCTGCGTTAATACCACGTGTGACGGTGATGGTGGCAGCATCACGGTGCCATTTCCATCATTGTACTGGCTGGCTAGCTAGCTGGACTGGGTAAATTATCTTGTCTGGTTCTGTCCGCTGCCAAACGTCGCAACAGTTATAGCCGTGCCTTATGATCGGATGTAAAATTAACTTTACTAGCTATTTTTTGAGGTTATCACCTAGTAATTACTTATAAGGAGTTAGTTTAGCTTACCAAACCATTCATGGAAATAGAATTTGACCGATCCCACTTTTCAGAGGTGAAATTTTTGCACATAAGTAATCCTTATGTGTAGAGTATCAAAGTGTAGAGATGTTGTGAAGTCCAAATCGCTAAAAAACTGAAGAGCTTTATTAAAATAACTTCGTTTGCGGACCGTCTCGGGGACTTCCGCTGTGGGGCTCCACAGAAGTCAGGTGGATGGGGAGGGAATATCCTGTGGTGAGTTTCCACCGACGCGGAAATATTTCCAATTTTAGCAGAAGTTTTGGATTGAGTGGCTTTAAAAACACATCTACCCGGCAAATTCTGTGCATTGTATAGCTGAGTGTCGCATGGGACTGGATGGTGGCGTACAAGGAGGCCTTTTTATGAGGCGATCGCTATATGAATGAATATTTTCCCAAAAAACGGAGATGACTTCTCATAATTGCATTCCTCGATCTCCTTCCTCCTTTCTTCTTCCTACATCTACCTAAATTGTTTTTATTCCCGATATTTCTATTATACCCAACCGCTGATTACAAGTTGTCGTTTCACCTTTGCCGCCAGCAGTTATGGCAATATGGTATGCACAACTATTTCTCCAACTGTCTGGTTTTTTTAAGTTAGTCCTACATAGAACCAATTCGTGTGCATAAGTCCGAAGGAAATACAACATTCAAAGCGGTGGTTATCTTTTGAAGGCAAGCGGTGTGGAAGCTGTAAAATTGTGCATAGATTGTCCATGTTTTTAAGACAAACCTGAGTGCTGTGCAATAGAATGTGCTGTCCTTCTTAAGAGACTTTTTTGGAGCACATAATTGAAACCAAATTTGCTTTTTATGAAAGCAGCTGTAACAGACTTAACACTAGAGTCAGTTTTGAAGACATGGCAAGGCTAGAAATGGCATGCAAAAGGCCTGGGGACTGGTGCCAGAGCCCTATACCTTCAGTGTGACAGCTAAATTACGGGAGACTAAACGACTCGCCTAGATACATTTAGCATTATGAATCGCCCCAAGACTTCCCCGAAGACAAAAGAGGATGTAGTATCCCAGCAGAATAGGTATTGTCGACTTAGAGTAGGACTTGGCACTACTGGCATGGTCCGTAGGCCAGGCGGCCTGGTAAGGGTACGGTGGCGGAGCCCCTAAGCGGCCCGTTCCGAAAATAGAAAGTCAAGTTACTAATTTACGTACTGCTTCTAAAATAAATAAAATTTTTCATTATTTATATTTTTCTGGAGACTAATTTGGTGCTTTGATGCCAAATCTTAATGATCGATGTGGCAATGACATGGGTAAAACGACACTCTGGAGCTTTGAAATGGAACACCTCCTCGATTTCTTTGTAGTGCTTTACTTCATGTAGCGTTTACTATTCGTTCAAGATTCTTTTGTTTGTTTTGGGTCAACTAGACTTGACTTAAAGTGCTCGCAACAAAATCTCGAAAGAATGGCGACTGGCTTCTGAAATGAAATTATCTGTCGTTAGAATTTTTTCACCGATTAAATCCGAAACTTTAATGAATTGGACCTAGAGTAGGACGCTTATCCTCCTCACCATCAAGATTATCATTCTGCATCCACTTTGATGTGTTAACCTCAACTAATCTGCCTGCGACCCGATCCAGTGCTTTTGAACTGCTAAGGGACACGTCACATATTTCTGACGTCGAGATCCGACGTGAAGATCAGACTGGCACATAATTGTGACACTGACAGCAAACGCGCTAAAGGACGTTATTTTATGGCCAAAATTGGCAGATTCATATCCTATTACCTTTGGGTGGCCTGGTACTCCCACTCCCGAGTGTGAAAGCAACAACTAACCACCATGTTAAACTAACGATCTCTAAGGTGTAATGAAACCCATCTTATTAACGGAGTGGAGCTCGGTGAACAAATGGTGGGTCCCCTATCACCACCTTTTACTTGGCCCTCACACTGCCCCAAGGATTACTCATCAAAGAGTTGGGAGAGAGTTGTCGTATTTGGGTGCGCGCCCGCATGTTGTCTGTACGCCGCAGGTAATGCTGGGACCGCCGACGGCCCATTAATCAAGGACCCTCGCGGAGGGAGGAGGCGAAGAAAAAGAAGGTTCGCCATTAATTTAAGCGCCCTATGGCTCTGCACACATGCGCGCGGGTACATAGCGGCTGTGTCTTCAAAACAGCGCATCTAAAAGCTGGTTTCACCCCACCAATGTCCAAAGTCCACATTTTGGGTAGATGTGGGACCAAAGCGAGGCCACCGCTTCTTGAAAGGCCCTAGTGAAAACGCCTGACAATGGAATTATTAACAGAAAAACGAATTGGGCTTGTGCGCTTGTGGGTAAATCGCAAATCCGTAATTGACAAGACGAATATTTTTCGCAATTGGAGGCAAAAAAACTTCCTTTGATTTATCAATGCTCTCTGCGGCTTCAATGGGGCTGCCACACTACCAGCCCTTCCCAAAATGATTCATTTGTACAATTTTTTTGTTGGATAACCTCTTTAACCTAAACACTGGAATGAGATTGTCTTGTCTCACCTTTAGGAGAACTTTATCTTGCCCACCGTGACCACAGGTAATGTGGATCTGAGGTTAGGCAAATGTGTGGTGTCTTCAAGTGAGAAAAATAGACAATAAATGTTGCCACAGATCATGTGAACTACCGAATGATGGGTTGTACTACATGCAAGTCACCCATTTGAATAGGAATTGTCGCTAACAGGAGGTATGGGTAATGCTAGGCCTCGGATTTAGCAACTACTTTCCACTGTAGAATTCAAAGAACTGGAACATGTGTCAGACCAATCTGAACAGCATTTTATAATTTATAACACCTTATTCAAGCAGCACATAGAGTAATGTATACTCCATGAAATGCTCCTTGAGAATGACATTTGCCATGGTGTGGTCCAACTTACTGACGCTTCTTCTGCCTCATGTGCGAGATGAATTCATTCAGGTGAGAGGCGTCATTTCAGAGCAACAGCACCGCGAAACAAGAGCACCAATACTCAAGGAGGAAAGTAAGGCATAAGCAGTGAATTTCCAGCATAGGCGTGCGATAGATAAGAGCTATTGTACTGTTAATTTGAGTTACTAAAACAATCCGCTAAAAGTATTCCATGTTCACCAATTATGGACCGCTCTCTATTTCCACAATAACTGGATAACAAAGTGCTTGACCTGCCTTGATCGGAAAGTAATATTGCCTTGCCTAATCAACGAAAGGAAAATTTTCCAAAAGGGAGTTAGTAAAGACCTTTGCAACGATCAAAACTGTTCTTCAACGAGGGAACTGGCTACTAATCCAGGTTGTGAGTAGCGTGTTGTGTCTCTTCGAATTCTATTTTGGCAAATTTTACCGAGACGCAAATCCTTGCTGATTAGGAAATGGATAAGACTGTGAGACCGAATTTTAAGGTCTCAAATTAATCACTTTTCAAACTGTAGTAGTTGAACTTTGCGATTTTGCACAGGATTGACGTCCAGGATGAGGAGGAAATCCCAAAGCAATCTACTCAGTCTTTTAATATTTTTTATTTTGATAATTCAGTATTTCAAGTAAAGTAATTCTATCAGCCCATAATGCTGCCGGATTTCTTAGAGCTTTTTTTAAAAAGAGTGATAAAATTCCTCTAATAGATTCGGTTTGGGGTGAAAAATTTAGTGTCCGTAGGGAGGTATTCCCTCTCCCTCAAAAAAGTGTCAAGTGATGGTAATGTGGAAGACAGCCGCAAAAACATTTCACACGCAACAAAAAACATTTGCCACCTATAAATAATCTTAAATTGTCAATTCACCTGTTTCCCCTCTCTGGCTAATCAATACTTGGCATCTGATTGGCTCCTAGAGGAGACAACCAACCAATGGGCAGCTCAAGATTATTTAATTTGGGAAATGTGGGTGTTGGTAAGCGGTGCACGGGTCATGACTTGACCGGTGACATTGCTGCACCTAAGGAGGAGTGACGATGATAGAACAACTGACTGGAGAAGGCAAATGTTTTGATCCAATGATAGCTTGTCTTTTGTGAAGTAGACAGTTACAATCGAGGTATCATTCAAAGGATAAAATTTGGCAATGTCAACAATAGATAGAAGATCAGAAGCAGCCCTGACCAAAGAGGATTGTGTCTTAGAAATCGCACCACAAGCGGGTAGTATTTGATGACAATGCTGCGTGCAAAACCAACTAATCTCATCACACATTGTTACAATACCGTCAAAAGCCCTTCCTTGCTAAAAGTGAACTGGCTTTCGGCCACTACTTAATTGATGTTTTGGCTGATGTGGTAAGGTTACGCTCTGCATGACCTATTAGCTTTAGTTACGAATAACAAATCCATTTTTGAGGACCTCGCGAGGTGGTATCTGGGCGCGTTTGCGGCTTGTGGCCATAGTATACCGGCCACAGGATCTGGCCGTTTAATAACAAAGAACTTTGCAAATGGTTAGCTGGAATTCAACGTGAAATCAGGGCAGACTGCGCATTATGATCGACCACTTTTCTACTTTCTCAGTGGCAACTTGAAGAGTGCTTGTAAAATTAAAAGATGTCATAAATATAAATGTACGATGTTGCAGGCATGTTGCTTTGTTAACAGCTCTTGCAATAAGCGCTTCACGAATTGAAGATCTTTACCATTGCCACAGATCGCGCAATTCAGTGGGTTAATTTTTTCCTCTCTTGTTGGATCTGTGGGTTCAGCCGCCAAAATCGTCATAATCTTTGGCATGGCAAGAAAAACCCTACGTATCAGACGTATTAGTCTGTGGACAAATTTGTCACGGGGATTCACGGACGCTAACTCCTATACGTAAGGGCAACAAAAAATGTCAACATACTTGTTGCATCAATTCAATGAGTTTGTCTGGTAAATGTACACCTTTCTAGAGAGCAATTATGATGCTTTTACCAATTTTATTGGCCTCGTAGTTGATTAGGGCCCAGCAGAGGACTAACTAGCGGCGCTTAACAACAAATCATGTGTCGTTCCAGTTTGTGCAAGCATACTGAGGCGTCTATCAATGAACTGCCCCCAAATCACTTCAATTGAAACTCACAGATCAGTAGCAAACACAATCCAATCACCCACAAAAGAGCATTTTGACAGCCATAGTGACATGCACTCTCTACGTCGCGATGTAAATTAAATGCTATCAATCAAATACTACGGTTCGCATCTGCCAATTAGCGTTTCAGCATTGAAAAGTCGTAAACGTTGAATCGCATGTTCGGTCCCGGTTGTGTGATTTGAATTTGCATACCAGTGATGCACAGTGGAATGCCGCCAATTTATCCTTTGGAGGAATCAAAATCTACAAATAATGTAATTCAGCTGGAATTGCTAAATAAAACACTGAACTCATTCCGTGCATCAAAATTCTAAAGCTTAAACAGAGTTTTAAAATCAGTCAGTCCAGCAGTCTGTGCACATCTGCCTGATGAGCCCTTCATTCAGATAAGTTGTAAGGTGGCCCTGATGCCGCATTGAATGGGACGCATTTTATATACTCAAGTAACACGACTACTCTTATTACTTTACAGATTTGGGAGTAAATGCTTTAAAAGTGGAAATCAAGGAGAGAATCATCACAAGCTAAAAATGCGCCTGTGGTAGCAATGTCGTTGAACGGTAAGGTAACAGCAATCACATTGGTTCTTTTAAATCAAATTCTTTCTTATTTATTTCTTCAAGAAAGCCGACTAAACAAGGTGGTGGTGATGGTGGTGGTGGTGTTTCATCATGTTAACTTCACTTGACAATAATAAATCACCACTTAAATGAGCATCTTCCACAGATCGAGTAAAAAAATCCATCCTTCAGTACGAAGTTACATCCACAGGCTATAAATAACAGGTTTGGACACATCGATGTATTCTCCGAAGCACAACTCAGGCTATTGGCTTGACAGCGTGGTTTTGTCATGACGACCTAAAGATACGCTATCGACATGTTGCCTTCGGGCAATTGTGCTCTTTAGACTTTAAAATGCAATTCTTGCGGAGCTCTGTCTGGCCTTTTCAGCTTGCCGAAAAACTAAGAGCCTTCTTGTTGTTACAGATTCCTCAGAGTATCTTCGTTTCTGCCAAACGACGATCGACTTAATAGAGTGACCACGGGAGTAGTAGTTAAAATACTTCCAAAATGGAGAGAACTTTAAAGTGAAGTTATGTTTATTTCCAACTTCCACATAGGTAGCATGTCATTTCCAAACTCGTACGACTCGTCGACTTCCGCATTGGCATTTTTATAGTGGAGGTGTGCAACCTAGAGGCCGGAGCTGAAGACCCACGATTTATCGAAGCAAACTCCTCCGCTGATCATCCATCGGACACCTCACTCGACCATGAGTCTGCTTGCATCGCACACTCCACTCTTCGACAGATGGCCGCCGGTGTCTATTCTGCAAACGACAGTAACTTGTCCCCCCGTCTCCTCGTCGTGGATGCAATTCCTTTGGCTTATCAAAATGATCTGGAGGTCTTTGTTAGGAAAAAACCTGCTGACCATCAATATGTCAGCTTCTGTCTACTCCGCCTTTGTACTGGCAGGTGTCAAGTTCCATGTGTAACAATCGAAAGATGTACCGCTTCAACATTCACCTGGGATGGCCAACCTTCAACTGCAGTGATAATGCACACATGCGGCTGCTCGACTCCTTCAACAGTGAGGAAGTCACCCCTCGATGCCCGCCTGGTCTTATGTGGTGCGCTGGGCAGTGGACAGCAGTTGGTTCTTTCTGAAGTCGTCCAGTTGTGGAAATGTCTTCTGTCCCCAAAAGTGAGCTAAAAGTAGGTGGTATAAATACAGACATAACCCCAACAATCGCAGAGACAGAGTGTCTTTGAAGATAAACAAGCTTTGTAGACGGGTGGTTTCCATGCCGCAACTCCTTGCTCTACTCAGCTAATAGTGTGAAACATTTCATCATCTCGCCCCTCGATTGATTGAGGTGATGGTGGGTGGTAGGTCTCTTGTTGAACTAATTAAAGCAGCGAGACGGACTCGGCCCAATTCACAACCCGACTTCCCACACAAAGCACAAGCGCACATGCTGTGGGTCCGTTCTGGTGAAGAGGGTACCCAGGGGTTGGTGTGGTGGGAACTCTACCGTCGCTGTCGGGACTCATTTTGAGACATCAGTCATTTCAACCTGTACATACCTACCCACCCGACACATGAGTCATAGGGGTGTGGATACCGCGCCTTGTCTGTCGCGCTCTTTTTATTCACCTCTCTCGCTCCCTCTCCCACCTCGGAGCAGCTGTCAATCGAATCCCGCACTGGACCCCGTGGAGCGGAAGCTTTACCCTGGATGACTAAAAAGGACCTCGTGGGCAAATAATCAAGTAGAACAAATCTCATTCTTTTAGGTGACTTCGTCCCCGGAGCGATGCCCTTGCCAGACCATTCGCTGGACATCTGTCCTATCTATACTTTTCACCGTAAAACTTAAAATCGGATTCTTCTACTGTCTTTTTTTTTTTTCTAAAACAGTCCCCAAACCTGTAACTATAGCCACGTTGTGACGAAACGATAACTTAATAGCAGGTTTGACTATGCTGGTCTAATCATTGCCCCGTGAATCGACCACCTCAAAGTGCTTCTCTACCCTAATACTGGGGTCGAACTCTAGAGTCCCATGTTCTTTAGCACCGTCGGACACTGTAAGGCCTCCTCGTGATGAAAATACACTCCGCGGTCAGGAGGGACTGTAATACTAATAAATCTTCGTTTCAGTTACACGGAAACTTAAAGCTTCGCCTTTGTACTTCCGCTCGATGATGTGGTCTCCAGGCTTGCTAGTAGCCCCCAGCCCTTCCATGTGTCGGCAATGCATTTTCTGTCTTCTTTCGACTTTAGGAAAGACTCTGGGCTCTGCATTGGTGACAGCAGCAAGCAAAACCGATCCCAAAAGAATCCACCCTGATTTCCATACCCGAGATGCTAAATCATAACGAAACGGGGGAAGGGTGGATAAGAGATTGTGTAATGGCCCCTAACCCTAGGGTTAAAAATGAGGTCCTCCTTCGGCGACTACCTTAGGCTCGTGTCCCGCAGGAATGCTATTAACAGCTGAGGTGACACTAGCCTTGAACTATCTGGAAAAGGATGTTACGGAGCTGTCTACCGTACTTGTATGAAGATGTCAATATAGTGAATTCGTCATACCTCCTTCACCTCCCGACTAGCCGAATATGACCCAGCTAGATATGACTGGATAGAGCCGAAGTGAAAACAATCGTAAAGGAGGAAAAGACACGAAAACTTACCCTCAGGAAAATATTTTAGGTCCTGTCCTTAATCAACTGAGTCTGCTTTTAGGCCAGCCTTCTCACGACTAGCGATGGCCATACGAGATAGCCGACAACATTCCCCCTTTCCCTTAATCCAGGTTTCAAACTAGATCGAACTCCGAATTCAGTAGAATTGCCAGGAGGGATCAGTGACGTTGCGGTCAACTATAGCCTTAGTCGCATGGAAATTTAATGACCTGCACTTTTAGCTGGTGGGTGTTTCCTTACAGCGTCAGCTGTGTTCTGATGGCCGACGAGGGGGGTTGACCCAAGAGGAGCATCGCCGTCCACGTGTTTTGTCTTCGTGGTCACTAAAGCCTCCGCTATTGTACTTCCTCTAAGAGGGCATGATTCAAGAATTTGAAACCCATCTCTGTGCTGAAGCGATTATTAGTCATGTTGTTTAAACTATCATCGTGATGATCAACCTTGACTAATTTTTTTTAAATTGCTTTTTTTATTGAGATCACATTGCGGCCTTGATATACGGCTGCATAATAAAACAACGCAGTTGGTAGAAAAGTTCTAGTTTTAAATTTACGCCTCATTTATAATTCGATGGTTTTCGAAGAAGGAAATAGACTTTATTGTTGAGTATACTTTCGAAGTCTGAACAAGGAGGCATCAAGGCAAATTTGGATAGATTTTGGTGACTTAACAGAGATTTGTGCTATCAGGTTTTATGTGTTTCGAATCCACAGTGCTCTTTTAGATGCAAAAGTAGGAATGAAAACTCTAAAAGTAATGGCAGTGGAATAGATGACTGTGCAATCAGGGAGTAAAATCAAATTCTACAAGGGATTCCACACTTAGATTGCCACCAATTATTTCGGAAGAAGGCAAATCACTGTACTGCCTATGGTAACACATCAGCATTGCACACTGGATTCGGAAAAGAGTGATTTTAATCTTTTCCGTCCCTCCACCTCTCCCATAATACTGAAAGTGGTATTCTATTTCTGGATCCTTATTTCCCATAACATCCTAGAGCGCATTATGGATTATGCTTTGTAATCTGCTTAGCCTAAAGGAACCCGATTGTGAGTCCGGTATGGTAAATGTGATGTGAAGAGGCAAAACATGTACATTAGGGATGGTTAAATGAATACCACCATCAGGGAAATACCTAAAACTCTCTATAAAAATTATGTGTTGCAAGTGCTACTGAATTTAATTGTTGTACTTAAGTAGTACGAGACCATTTCGTCCAATGCTCTAATCGAAAGACGAGGTATCCAGTCACAGTCATACGCGCTCCTCGAGTGGAAGCTGTCAGGTCAATTAAGGGTTGATTGATAGCAGCCAAAATACTTTGTCACCTGACAAGCATCAAGCAGACCAGACCTGCTGGAAGGTGCTAATTGAGCCATTCTTACTTCCTAATTTTCATCGAATAAACGCAAATTAACAAAAGTTTAGCAGTCTGGCGCAAGGTAGCTAGTTAAAGTTATCTTGATGCACCAAAGCTAGACCGTGGAGCTATTACATCATCCCAAGATGCGTATCTACTTGGGGTTCATAAAACTTGTTATTCCTAGCACGCACCAATGCTCGAATGTTGAATCTGCTGCGTTTTAGCCCCATCTTGCTTGTGTGGGAGTTCCACTGGCTGGTTTAGACCCTTTGGACTGTCATAAAAAGTATATTTATAGAAACGTTCCCTTATATAATCTCTAGGAAGAATTCAAGGGCTACGCGCTCGTTTGTGAAAGCACCACCCTTGGAATTTACATAATAACGGAAAATGGAAGAAACCTCAGACGGGTGGATGGATGGATGCCTGAAGAGAACAGAATTGTGGCCAACGTGGTAGATCGGAGTAAATAATGGACGCCGCTCTGTGTTGCTACTTAAAATTATGTATCAAATGCTTTTAGGCAAGTGTTCCCTCAAATGGCTGCATGACGATGCTACTTTGCAAGCTATAAATTAGTCGCTGCATTTTTAAATTGGGCAATTTAACCTATTAGCTTTGTTCCTGGCTGGTCGGAGGTGGTTTTGAAGCACCGACGGCTCCGTAACAGCCGGTGCAAAAGAGTGATCCAAGAGCAACACCGAGAATAACACCCCCCAGAAGAGGAGGAGGACTTTGTGACAAAACGAGGTTGTACAGCTGAGTACTTGAGCTCTTACTTCTCCACGGTTCTGGCCACAATTTCGGTTCGCTGCCCTTCTGTCCTCTCAATTCCCGTTACCAGCATACTACCCCTCGTGTATCAACAGTCATGCATCCTGTAATGTCTTCGGGCATATTACAATCTGCTACGGCATCAGTATGGTGGATCGTAAGAATTGTAAAATCTTTGTTTAAATTTACCTCTATAGGCGAGAAGCGGTCGGCTAATACGAACACACTTAGCTGTGAGATCTGCACCCCAGCAAAGCATGACCTCGCCCAACTTGTCTGCTCCACCCACGGGTATGAAGGCCCATTTCAGAACCACTTTATACACCCCCTCCAGAACAGCAGGATTCAGTAAAACACCACATTCCTAGCGTAAGTGGACACATTAATAATTAAGCTAAAAAATCAGAAGGAATTTTTCCCAATTTCACTTCCACCGGAAAATAAAACAAATCGACCATCGTCACGTTTCTATTTTATCAAACAAAGTGAAAGCACTTCACGGACATGAAAAAAGAGGCCAAACTCTATCACTTCTCGGTTCAAAAGTGGCCGGCCAATTTCACTGTCGGACAAAAAGTTATCTGTAGGCAACTGAAAGTCTCCACTTAGGTAAAGGTGGCTGCTAAAATTGATAGTTCTTGTAACAGCTTCTTTGGGACGTCGTTTTAGCCGCCCCATCTCCTCGCTTTCAGCTTGGGCGCCACCCCTTTCACCTTATCCCGCCTAAGATCGGCTTGATTGCAACGCGGTGAAAGGGAGGGAGGGAGGGAAGGAGGGGGCGAGAGAAAACTAGTCACATGACATCTCAATTAGCGCTAAAAAGTAGGCAGATGTTTTGTGTCTGTTTTTTGTTCCACTGCAGCCAATATCCGCCTCCCTTGAACGTGCCTGGTCAGTTAATCAGCCTGGAGGTAAAGGTACCCCATGCCATGCTTTGCCTTATTCCTACTTTCCTTAGCCTTTCTGCTACTGCTGCTGCTGCTGTTCACAAGCTGATTATCACAGGACCACCACTTCTGCCTTTTCCAACGTATCATCATCACAATCATCATTAACACCTCCCTACCGGCCGCCTAGGTGCGTGGGCGGACCGCGTTTGATGTAACCGATCCTTGGGCCTTCAAAAGACCCGCTAACCAGTAAAGAAATTAGCAAGTGTCTATTTAAGCATCGATTAGGTGCTGAAATCCACATCTTTTTGAAGAGGATCTCTTTCCAAATTTTGAAGCTTTAAATAGCTTCAAAGAGAGTGACCAATATCAGTTTTGGTGTTTACTTTTCTAGTTGGAAAACACTAGTGTTATGCAATAGGCTCGGGTATTTTCCCTTCTACCTCAGCTTTCAGGCCTTCGATGGGGTCATGCTCTAGCTGGCAGTAACAGCTAAAGAGGTACAAAATCACGCTTTCTCCTCGGCGGTGAATGACATGTGATCCATTACGAGGTTCGTATTTACTGACGACCTCTCACCTGAAGGGCACAATCAAACAAACGTGTATTCCAGCTGCTTCCTGTTGAACTGAGGGTGCGGGAAAGCCTCAGGATCCTCAAGTGGTCAATAATATCTTTCCTTCCTCTTGTTTTTAGACTGCTCCAAAGGATCTGAGTGCTTTGCTTACTTCCAATGAATTTTCAATGCCACAATTACTATCGCTGCTGTCTACAGTTCTTTTGACTTTTGGAAGGCTGTGTGCTTCGGTATTGCCAAGGAAGTGGAACATTGAAGACCAGTAACAGGGACGTGAAGTCGAGAGACGGAGTGCCGATGCAACACATGAAATATATCTGTTAAAATAGACACCATGACCTTCCTCTCGACGACTGAAATTAATCGCTCACTTTTAAACCTGACAGTTGAACAAACCGTTCGGATCATGATGTCCGTG